CCATCCCTGCTATTTCACGCTCGGCCCTTCAGGCCCCCGCAGCACCCTCCCAAGGAAACCACCCACTCCCCAAGGTCTGCTCCAGTGATCTTTCCAAAATACATGTCTTCTTGTGTTGCACTCATTTCATCAGTCCTTCAGTGCCCATTATCCACAGGAGTAACTGGCCGCTCAGCATTCCGAGCTTAGATAAAGTGTGAAGGTTTGATTACAGCAAAATGCCAAGGTTGGCAGAAGACAGCAGAGATATATTCACAAAGATAGCACTAGATCATGTGAGCCCTTTAGGCAAGACTAGCTAGTTACCTGTATTTTTTTTAGGCGGGTAATTGAGCAGTGAGCGTGTAGGTTATCTGTACATGTACTATTTAAGTAAGTTCACTCGGTACCCACCCAATTACGCACCCCTTCCCCCAGCTTTTCTCTTAATAGAGGCCAGAAAACAGAACTCAAATTCCTAGCCTTTGCTGCTAGAGCTGGCGAGTGAAATGTAGGCTGAAATGTTTGGCAAGGGCTTCCTTGTTGACTAGAAAGTGAGGACTCTCTGAAAGGCTTTTTTGGCTTTTATTTCCCACCACCACGCCCACCTTTTTTTTTTTTTTTTTTTTTTTTTTTTTTTTTTTGCCTGAATGCTGATGAGATGCCTTGCGACAAAGTAGCCATTTTTTGACTTGGCGTGAGATCAGAGGCAGCCATGAAGTACAGCAGGTTGAGAAAAGACGCCCAGGTCCTTGAAGACAGCCTCAGTTGATCATCATCTGACTCTTAACCACCCCCAATCTCGTCATGAGCCATTCCTCTTATCCCAGAATCTACAATCCAAGCACCAGATATCTTATGCGTATCTTATTTTCCTGATGTCAGAATTTCTGTCTCCAGTTTGAAAATTACTGATGGTATCTGATAAAGTGTCACTACTTTAAGAGAGGATCAGCAGCATTGTGGAGTGGAATTTCACATAGCAAAGGAGTCGGAAAGATTGAGCTTAGTTCTGGTTCTGTCATTAACTGGCTCTGTGACCTCGAGCAAGTCAGATCAGTTTTCCCCTCTACAAAACGGGAGTGTTGGACATGATTTTATTTTTCCAGTTCTTTTGTTCAATGACTCTCTGAGGCCAACCACTAAATCTTTCCAAGGGAGAAGGAAAAGCCATGGACAATTGATAGTGCAAACCCCAACAAAAATTTATAGCAGAGAAATTGGGAAGCAGCCCCAAGTAGTAAGGACATATACAATGCCAAAAAAAGTGTGTATAGAGAGAGTGGTGGTAGTGAGGGGAAGGACTCCTCCCCTGCTGTATCAGTATCAGAGGCTGTCTTCTCTAAGTAGTGAAGAAACCAAATGGTAGGTTGAAGTCCCATGTCTGTCTGTTGCCGGTTATCACTTCAATGGGTTATGCTAAATGTTTTTGATTTACAAAGCTACGTATCTAGAGTTAGCATTCTTGGAGAATTCAGTTGATGGACTATCTGTACAGAAATGCTGCCTTTAAGTTCATTCTAGGTGTCACTGCACAGGACCACATGCTGCAGTGTAAGCCATTAAATACACATGTCTCTAGATTGAACCACAGGTTCCATGATGGGTCGACTTGATGGGAAGATCATCGTCCTGACCGCTGCTGCTCAGGGGATTGGGAGGGCAGCTGCCATAGTAAGTTATTATTTCTTGTTAGCTTACTAACTTTTGAGGTATTAAATTATGTGGACACAGCCCGTGGTTATTTAATTCTGCTCTCGTTTTTGGTTGTTTTTGGCTTTGATTTTGTTTTGTTTTACTTTTGTGCTTCTGTTGTCTGAGGTTACAAAAAGAAAACTCACTAGCCTTGACCCAGGGTAAGTGAAGGAATGAATACCTCACATGTTTATTATGCAACATCAGTGATAACCTTGGACTCTGAGAAACTTAATTCTCTGCCTCAGTTTCTCTGCACGATGATATATTTACTGCAGGGGACCTACAGGAATGTATTGCTTTCTGTAATTGTCAGTTCAGATGTAGGACTCCAGAGATACAAGACTATCAGGTTACTTTCACCTTCTAATTTATATCAACTTCTTGTGCATTATAACCCACACCTGAACTCATTAATGCACTTACAGTATAATAGGGTATGGTTTGACATTTATGAAAACAGTAATATAGTTTTAGGAGAAAAAGTGTGAAAATAACGCATTTTCTCTTATTATTTGGGATATAGTAAAAAATGGAAAATAATAAGAACTAGCTCAGAAATGAAATACAGGCTATCACATCACAGAATAGTATTTTGAGAGGTGTCAGTAACAGAGTCCTAGTTTTTAAAAACACTCTTTTATTTGATAATGCTTACAGGCATAAAGTCAGATGACAAGCACAATGTATGTCATGTTGTTCTAATTAATGGTAAAAATATTAACAATGGGAAGGGTGAAATGAGAGTAGAGAGCTTAAAATTCCACCTATTTTATAGGTAAAACAATGAAAATAAGATAAGGGAGGAAAGGCTAAATGACTTTCCACTCATGAGAATGGAATCAAATCGAATAAACAAAGGATTTATTTGTACATTGTGTCTACCAGGCTTTTGCAAGAGAAGGTGCCAAAGTCATAGCCACAGATATCAATGAGTCCAAACTTCAGGAACTGGAAAAGTACCCTGGTAAGCAACTCAGCACTTTGAACTTGGGATTCAGAATCTACAAGGTATTATAAAGCAATATTGTTCACATGTTGAAAGAAAAGTCCTTAGCTGCTCGGTTCTGCTGGCCTTTTTTAGAGCCTTTTTCTCTGCTATCACGTCTATATTCTGTGTGGGGCTCCTGGGCGGCTCAGTCAGTTAAGCATCTGACTCTCGATTTCAGCTCAGGTCATGATCTCATGATTTGTGAGACTGAGCCCTATGTTGGGCTCTATGCTGACAGCACAGAACCTGCTTGGGATTCCCTCTCCCTTTTTCTCTGCCCCTCTTCCTCTTGCATTCTCCCTCTCTCTACTTTTCTCTCTCTCAAAATAAATAAACATTTTTTAAAAATCTGTATTCTGTGAACCTACAGACAAAAATCTATACATTTAAATGTATAAACAAAATTTTAAGATGTATGCTTAAATTTTTTTTATTTAGCCAAAATGTTGAAGGATTCAGTACTCAATTACAAAATTACATGTGAAAATTTAATAGTTGTTAACTTTTTTTTTTTTTTAATTTTTTTTTTTTTCAACGTTTATTTATTTTTTTGGGACAGAGAGAGACAGAGCATGAACGGGGGAGGGGCAGAGAGAGAGGGAGACACAGAATCGGAAACAGGCTCCAGGCTCCGAGCCATCAGCCCAGAGCCTGACGCGGGGCTCGAACTCACGGACCGCGAGATCGTGACCTGGCTTAAGTCGGACGCTCAACCGACTGCGCCACCCAGGCGCCCCACTTTTTTTTTTTAAGTAAGCTTTCGTCAATGGTGAGCTTGAACTCACAACCCTAAGGTCAAGAGTCACATGCTCCACCGACTGAGCCAGCCAGGTGCCCCTGTTACGTTAACTTTTGATGATGACTTTCTACTTCTCTGCCTCCCTCTGGGGGAGACACTGTCCAATAGACACATGACATGAGCCATATGTGCAAGTGTAAATTTTCTTAGTGGCTACATTTAAAAAGTAAAAAGATACAGGTGAAATTAATTTTAATAATGTATTTTAATTAATTCAATGTATCCGAAATATTATAATTTTAACATATGCAATTGTAAAACATTACAATAGAAAATTTTACATTTTTTACACTAAATCTCTGAAATCCATGTGTATTTTACATTTACAGCACATTTCAGTTCAGACTAGCTGCATTTCCCATCCATGCTTAGTAGCCAGCCACATGTGGCTAGTGGCCACCATATTGGAGACAGCTCAGCCTTAAAATCACATGTCATGATCAGAAACTATAAGAGATTAACTTGTTCAAGTGCATATTGCCCCTTACTGTACCACACCGAACCTAACTCCGACGTCAAAGGGTTTTAATTGGCGTTACTCAGAAAGAAATCAGAACATAGAACTCATTTCAAAGTTAACTGTTTCAGCGAAATAGAATAGGTTGCATGATCAAACATAATTTAGTTCAATTGAATTAGTTAACTGAATTAAACTGAGTTATCATTTCAACAAATGTAAGAGAAGCTGCTGTCGTAGAAAAGCACAGAGGAAAGGAAAGTCCTTCTGAAACTCCATTCTAGTCCTCCCTTTATTTATAATCTTTCTTTTCTATATCCAAAAGGGAAGAATAGAATAATAAACCATATATTTTTTAAATCATAAAAATTATGACTGCTGCTTAATGAAAGCATTAGAACATATTTTTTTAGTAGCTAGTACAGTGTGTCTGCCTCAGACCCCATGCCAACTCTCTCATCGCTAGTGTTTTCATCCCTTCTTGTGGCCTGTCATTTCTTCTTGGAATTTGGTCCAGAAATAAGTGATGGTACCTGTGATCCGCAAAGTCATTTCTAGTCGATAATACAATTGACATAAAGGTAAAATGCACAAATAGAAACCATCTCTTATCCCACTGCCCCTGTCCTTCCCCCTCAGACAGAATTCAGCATCAGTGTAGCAGTGATTCAACCTCTGGGTTGAAAGACGGGACTAGAATGAGCCCACTTGCAGGTATTGCTGCTGGTTTGCTGAGAAGCATCTACTATAGAGGTCAAGGTGGAGCACCTGGCTGGCTCAGTCTGTAGAGCCTCCAACTCTTGATGTCAGGTCGTAAGTTCAAGTCCCATGCTGGCTGTGGAGCCTACTTAAAAAAAAAAAAAAAAAAAAAAAAAAAAGATGGGGAGGACTTCAAGATTTTTACTAATGAGATTCTTAAGATTGGTAAGACCCTACTAATGGCCGACAATCCTGTGAAGTCTAACTGGACAAATACTACAGTCTTCACACTTCAGAACAGCTAAATCTTCAAGGCTAAACATTTCTATGAGTAAAGATAAATTGTGTACTTTGTTTTGTTTTTCAGGTATTCAGATTCGGACCCTTGATGTCACAAAGAAGAAACAAATTGATCAGTTTGCCAATGAAGTTGAGAGACTTGATGTTCTCTTTAATGTTGCTGGGTAGCTCATACTTTTTCATTTCACTCTCCTTACAGAAAGTTTTATATGACTTTTATTTAAAAAGTTTTGGTAAGGGGCACTTGGGTGGCTCAGTCAGTTAAGCATCCAAGTCTTGATTTTGGCTCAGGTCATGATTTCACGGTTCGTGAGATCAAACCTTGCATCAGGCCCTGCACTGACATTGTGGAGCCTGCTTGAGATTCTCTGTCTCCCTCTCTCTCTGCCTTTCTCTGGCTCTTGCTCTGTCTCACTCTCTCAAAATGAATAAACTTTTAAAAAATTTTTGATAATGCATAATTGTTCATCATGAACCATAATATATTTCTTAGGAAATATAGTTAGGTTTTAGACAAATTTTATTCCAAGTAAGATTCAGCAAATAAGACAGCCATAGAAGTGAACATGGGCTTCAGGCTCTGCACTGATAGTGTGGAGCCCACTTGAGATGCCCTCTCTCTCTCTCTCCCACTTCTCTCTCCCACTTCTCTCTCAGTCGCTTCCCTGCTTGCATGCACATGCACTCTCTCTCACTCTGTCTCAAAATAAATAAATAAACTTAAGGAAAAAAAAAAGTGGACATGGACTTGAGTCCTAAGGAAAATGACGGTCTACTCAAGAGAACTGGTATTAATCCAAACCTGTTAATCTTAAGGCTGGTCATAGGCTTACAGCAATGGACTGGCTGTGGACGCTCCACTAAGACTTATAAAATAAAATGAAAAACCATTTTCCAGTAGGTGTCTTTATTTTTTTTTAATGTTTTTATTTATTTTTGAGACAGAGAGAGACAGAGCATGAGCAGGGGAGGGGCAGAGAGGAAGACACAGAATCTGAAGCAGGCTCCGGGCTCTGAGCTGTCAGCACAGAGCCTGATGTGGGGCTTGAACCACGAACTGTGAGATCATGACCTAAGCCGAAGTCGGACACTTAACCAACTGAGCCACCCAGGCACCCCTCCGGAAGGTGTCTTTAAAGCAAAGTATATTTACCAGAAACCAAGTACTCAGCTTATTGAAATGCAGGTGTTCCCAATTTTTTGGCATGGCATTCTAGCAACTCCTTTACACATCCCAAGCTCAGTGTTTCTTACTGGGACAATGAATTCCACCCAGCAAAAGAAGTTTCCTTGTTGCATCTCTGTATAGAGCACAAAGAGAATGGCTTAATTGAACTTACACAGATGATACCAAACGTGCTGAACCGTGTATGAATGAGGAGAGGCTGGAACTGGAGCAGCTCGTGCTGGGACTTTCCCTGCTCAGGCGAGACAGTAGAGATGACTACAGCCGAGGTTTACACAGGAACTAAGTGACATTCCACTTTTCTTATGTTCTGTTATATTTGTACTGCCGCATTGACGGAAAAATTCCAGAGCCTTCTAATACATTTTTGTTCTTCCTAATTATTATGTTTCTGCACCAAAAAAATGTGTGTGTGTGTATATATATATGTATGTGTGTATATATATGTATATATATACATATATGTGTATACACATATATATATACATATACGTATATAGTTTGTCATAGGTTACACTGTGTGGATATCAAACCAACAATTTATGACAATCTGCTACATAAATTGCTCATCCCTTATATGAGAATATACTCAGAGCCATGACAAAAAAATCAGTTAGCAGAACTGGTTTTTTAATATCTACGTATTAAATTCTCAGCAAGGTAAGGGATATAGAAATAGAGCGTGGGTTCCTGCTGTCATACGAAGGATGAGAAGGTTATTTAAGAGTGTGACTTGAGGGGCACCTGGGTGGCTTAGTCGGTTAAGCGTCCAACTTCAGCTCAGGTCAGGATCTCACAGCTCGTGAGTTTGAGCCCCGCATCGAGCTATGTGCTGACAGCTCAGAGCCTGGAGCCTCCTTCAGATTCTCTGTCTCCCTCTCTCTGTCCCTCCTCTGTTTGCACTCTCTCTCAAAAACAAATAAACACTAAAAAAAATTTTTTTATAAAGAAGAGTGTGACTGGAAAAGAAGTGAAAGTTGCTTTAAGAGTTTTGTTTTGTTCTGCTTTGTTTACTCAATATGTTAGAACTATATGATACCGATATCACTTTGCTACCCTGAGATGTTGAGACAATGGTTTTCCTTTGCAATTTGATTTCCTTTTGAAAATGTTAAATCTATGCCACCTGAGGGCACTGTTGCTTATGAAATAGGAGTCGGGGCACGTATCATGTTCTCATTTGTTTTTGATATTGTTTTTGCTATTTCCTGTGCACTTGCCATAGAGCTTCTTATGTTTGGTGGCCCCAAGCCTTTGCCTTTCTTTCAAAAGAAGGATGTTGTTTTCAAATAAATTTATTTAGCTTAAGCTGTTGGATACTTACTAACTTAATGTACTAAGTGTTTCTATGAATTGCTAAAATCTTCATAAGGTTTAAGTCAATAAATGACAATATAAAATGATAAGGAAGTACAATAGAAATCCTAAATGATCATTTTTCCCCACTGATTAATCCCTCTTACAGTTTTGTCCATCATGGAACCATCCTGGACTGTGAGGAGAAGGACTGGGACTTCTCAATGAATCTCAATGTCCGCAGCATGTACCTGATGATCAAGGCATTTCTTCCTAAAGTAAGGACCACCATCACTATGATAAGTAGGTCTCCACACTGGGCATCCAGAAAGGGCCCTTACCTTTCTGTTCTGAAGAGTGACAGTAGCTACCACAATGACTAACCCATACTGAACATTTATATCAAGACACTTAATACAAACTCACTTAACCTTCCAGTTAAGAAATATTCAAGAAGTATTAAGAACTTTCTTTATGCAAGTCTCCATTCTGGGTGCAGAAGACTCATCAGAAAAACAAGTCCCTTCTATGAGAGAGATCTCATTTTGGGGGAGTGAGACAGGATAACATAATTAAATAAACATATAACTCCGGGAGTGGTTAGAAGTACTATGAAGAAGGAGCACCTGGGTGGCTTAGTAGGTTGAGTGTCTAAATCTTGATTTCAGCTCAGGTCATGATCTCATGGTTCATGAGTTTGAGCCCCACTTCGGGCTCTGCACTGACAGCGGGGGCCTGCTGGGAATTCTCTGTCTCCCTCTCTCTCTGCCCCTCCCCTGCTCATGCTTGCTCACTCTCTCTCAAAAATAAATACACTTAAAAAAAAAAGTGCTAGGAAGAAAAGGAAGCTAGGATATCAGTAAAGCCCAGGGTGCCTCGCTGATAAGCTGAAATTTTCATGGAGGTCCAAGTGAAATGAGGGAGCTAACCATTGAGGTATATGAGGAAGAGGGTCCCAGAGAGAGGGATAGCAAGGAGGTACATGGGACCAGAAGAATGGGATAAGGTAGGTACTACTTTATCACATCCACTGTACAGAGGATAAAACTGGGAGGTGAGGTAACTTGCCCAAGGTCACATAACTAGCAAGTGGTTAGAGCCGGGATTTGAACCCTGGAGGTTAGGCCCCTTCTTGAATTTAATTGTCTAGGCACATGCTGTCAGATGGATGTACCTCACTGCTTTTCTGTTCCTTGAGTATTCTTCTTGCACTCGTGTTTTTAACTGAGCCACAGAGGTACCAGAGAGGTGAGAGACAGTGTGTGCTAAAGAGAGAGAGCATTCTTCCTGAATCTGCTACCCTGGAATTCCACAGCTTTTCCACAACTCATTAATAATTTTCATTTTGTTTTACAAACAAGCATTACATGCCTTTTGATGAAAAGCACACGCTAGGCATTCTCGGAGAGGGGAGTGTAAATATGAAAAAGATTGAGTTCAAATGAACTTGTAAGCCGATAATGAGCACAGGCTCAGACAATGAAGGGATTGACTGCGTACAGAACCGGCTCAGTCCAAGGCTGCAAACTGAACCCTAGTGAAATGCAGAGGAGCCGTTCTTCTCTTCCATCCCGGCTGGATTAGATGGCAGACGTACTGAATGCTGCCAACCTAGTGCAGGAGAAGAGCTTTTTAAAGGCAAGGCAGGGCTGATGCTTTGCTCTGAACATTCAACATAATGTCAAAAAGGATCCCAGGTCACTTAGGTGGCTCAGTAGGTTAAGCACCCGATTTCAGCTCCGATCATGATTTCACCGTTCGTGGGTTCAAGCCCCATGTCAGGCTCTGTGCTGACAGCTCAGGGCCTGGAGCCTGCTTTGGATTCTGTGTCTCCCTCTTTCTCTACCTGTCTCTCTCTCTCTCTCTCTCAAAAATAAGTAATAAACATTAAAAAAAGAAAAAAAGAAGGATCCAGGTGAATGTTGAAAGGAAAACTAGAAAAACTGACTTCATAACAAAGGAATTTGTTTCAATCTACTTGTTTAGTGCTTAGAAAGGATCTCTTAGTGGTTCCATGGGATATGGGACTAGCAAATTGTTTTTTTAAATGTTTATTTATTTTTGAGAGAGAGAGGGGTGGAGAGGGGCAGAAAGAGGGAGACAGGGGATCTGAAGCTGTCTCTCTGCTGATAGCAGAGAGCCTGACATGGAGCTCCAACCCACGAACTATGAGATCACCACACAAGCCGAAGTCAGATGTTTAACTGACTGAGCCACACAGGTGCCCCTACCAAATTTATTTTTAATGTAAATTTCATTTTTTTGTTTATTCGGAGTTCATGAGAATCTGTTATTTGGAACCCTGATTATTTTTTTGAAGCCTGATCCTTAACTTATGATTGGGAGAGAAGCCAAGGTTGTGGCAAAAGGAGAAAACTTAGATCAGAGTGGGTAAGACTATCACATGTGCAAAAACAGCCTACTTCATGTCTGCAATGCTTGACAAATATGAGTGAAGGGAGCAGGCATGGGGTATGGTCCAGCGGCACTGAAATTCAAACTTGTCAGTAAATGTTAACTTTTGAAATATCAAACACTAACTTGCAAATTAGTGAGTTTTCCTATAATTTAAAGCATCTTAACAATAATCCATATGAACCACTAATACTCATTTGTAAAAAATCCCAAGAGATATTATTGACTGGGATGGGCAGTGAGAAGTCAGTGCCACTTATTAAAGTGATAATAACCAACCTGACCCTGGATTTCAAACTCTGGCATCACAGCCTGAACTCTGCCCCTACTTCACCATGTGCCGTGGGAAATGGCACTTGTACTCTGTTCTACTTAAAATGAGGATGAGATGGGGTACCTGGGTGACTCAGTTAGGTGTTCAACACTTGGTTTCATCTCCGGTCATGATCTGATGGTTTACAAGATTGAGCCTCACATCAGGCTCCACGCTGACATCGCGGAGCCTGCTTGGGATGCTCTCTCTCCCTCTCTCCGCCCCTCCCCTGCTTGCTCACTCTCTTTCTCTGAAAATAAATAGGCTAACTTTAAAAAAATAAAATGAGTGGGGCGCCTGGGTGGCTCAGTCGGTTGAGCGTCCGACTTCAGCCCAGGTCATGATCTCACAGTTCGTGGGTTCGAGCCCCACATCAGGCTCTGTGCTGACCTCTTGCTCAGAGCCTGGAGCCTGCTTCACATTCTGTGTCTCCCTCTCTCTCTGCCCCTCCCCCGCTCATGCTTTGTCTCACTCTGTTTCTCAAAAATAAATAAATGTAAAAAAATAAAATGAGGATGAGAGAACACAATCCCTTCCAGCCCTAATTGGGATCTTCTGGGTTCATTAACAATGATGCACATACAACAGGTTAGAACTTTCCAGGGGAAGTCAGGATCTGGAGTCTAGGCAGATCTGAAAAGTCAGGTGGTCAAGACACAGGAACACTTGTAGGAAATTTTTGATCATGGATACACACACAGAAAACCGTTCCAAAACTGGAATGTGAGTCAAAAGGCAAAGAACAAGCTGAAAATACTGTAAGAAGAAGTCAGTGCAAAATCCAAAGTCAGGGAAGTCTTGGATATGTGGAGGTTTTTCCCCTTTGCTGTATCTTAGAAGATTCTCTAGTACATAGAGATGCTGTAGCAAGTATTTGTTGAATGAATAAATGAATCTAGGTTGTCAGTCCAGGTAGAGGTGAGACATGGAATCATCAAAGAGCCAAGAACCCAAGGTCTGCCAGGTTTAAGAGCTGAGTTCAGTGGAGATAGAAAAGCTAGGTAGGTAGGACTGACTAGATCAACAGCTGGAGGAAATTTTCAGAGCTCTTAGCCCCTGCCTGAGCTTCTGGGAGGTCAGTCCCATCTAGAATTACTACATACCAGGCACTTCACTTTATACTTGCCAAGTGATATTTGCCAGAGCAGGACGTTGCATAGGGAGCCAGGAAGAGCATCCACACCGTACCAGCAGGTACTGAGCTGGTGTTGAGAAAACAGCATGGAAGGTTGCTGAGCATGGACTGAGGGCTCTAGATCCAGCAGACAGACCTGGCTGAATGGATAGCACAAGTGTTAAGGGACAGCACTAGCACCTCCTAGGTGAGACTGTATTCCAAAGTTTTGCCTGAGGAATTATAGCATTTCCGGTGATTAGAGACTGAACTTACTTAGTAGCTCATCGTTATGTATTCTACTGTAATATATGTATTCTATAGGTATTAAAATGGATTATATATGACAATGATAGCTCAATGAAACTGGAACAAAACTAAAAATAAGTAAAAACAGATTATTTGCTAAATTGGATAAGAAAGAATAATGTTAAGGCTTCGTTTCCAACACCATTATACTTTACTAATTTTCCTGGTCGTTTTTGTGAAGACCCCATCTCATTATGATCCTCTTTATCACATAGACAAACAAGTGGGGTTAAATATTTTCACCCCTACTGTGTCCTTGCCTTGATCGGGTCACTTCAGCCTCCCCTGTACCCTTTAATCCATCCAACACAATGCCTTAGGTTGTTGTAGATTCTCTGCTCTTGAGAACAAACAGTAACTAAGTATCAAAACAGAAAGTCAGGAGAATACCATGGGGAGATCTGCCATCTCACAGCCACATCCCTGGACCATCCAGTCACTCACCCCCATCCCTATGCCTCTCTGACTGAAAGCTGCTGGAGAAGCTCACCCCAGCAGGAGTGACTTCTCTCCCTACCCTGACTATTGAGACTCTTTTCTTCTTAGAAACTCATTCTTTGCTTGACTTTCATGGCACAGGATATCCTGCTTTTCCTTCCTCTGTTCTCTGGAGGTGGTCTTCCACTTCCTCTCAGCAGTTGTTTTAACTCTTCACCACTCTCTGTGTCCACCATTCCCCCCACTCAACCTTGTTCTTTACAGCCATCCTCCGAGCTTCTGATGTCAATGAGAAGGTAGTGCCCATCGAGTAGGAATTCTCTCCATGTCTCACTTCTTCATGGGTACCCACACTCTTGCACATACCTACGTGCCCTGAAAGCACACGTACTTATTATACTAAGTACAAATGTATATGAAAACATTTTTAATTCATAGCAGTTTTTCATTTATATATTCCTTTACGTCAGGGGCAGGGCCCAGCAATCTGCACTTTAAATTAGCCCCTCAAGAGATTTTGATTCATCACAGTGTTTGACCACCTACTGTGTACCCTGTCTAGGAGAACAAAACAACCCCAAACCCTCCTCTTCAGACCTTCACACTTGGAATGGGGGAATTCTGAGGGAGGTGTTCTTAGGAAGCACTGCCCTCGATGAGGGAGGCAGGCCTCACTTCATGTAACTGTTTACCACGTCCTGCCCTTACCACCTCAACCTCCCCCTGCATAACTCACAGACATTGCTGCATCTCAGCTTTTCTCAGTCCTTTCTGAAATCACTGTATCACCTTCCAGTGGTCTCCTCTATGTCGTGCCACTATAATCTTAGAATTCCCCAAATCTAAACATGCCACTTCTCTGCATTAAGCCCCTCATTGTCACCACCACATTGCCTCCTGCGTAAAGCCCAAATTCCTAGATTTAGCCCCTGTTGGCCTCTGCAGCCTCATTCCTCCCACTCCGGGCATTCCAGCCAGACCCATCCCTTCCTCCCAGCTCTGTGCTAGAGCCTTTATACATGTGGCCCTCACTCCTTAAAACACCTTTCTCTTTTATTTTTCTGAATTACACTCCAGTTTTCAAAAATCAGCCCACCTCCAATGCAAGCTGGTGCAGCCACTCTGGAAAACAGTATGGAAGTTCCTCAAAAAACTAAAAATAGAACTACCCTAAGACCCAGCAATTGCACTACTAGGCATTTATTCACTGGATACAGGCGTGCTGTTTCAAAGGGACACATGCACCCCCATGTTTATAGCCGCACTATCAACAATAGCCAAAGTATGGAAAGAGCCCAAACGTCCATCGATGGATGAATGGATAAAGCAAATGTGGCATATATATACAATGCAGTATTACTCGGCCATCAAAAAGAATGAAATCTTGCCATTTGCAACTACGTGGATGGAACTGGAGGGCATTATGCTAAGTGAAATTAGTCAGAGAAAGACAAAAATCATATGACTTCACTCATATGAGGACTTTAAGAGACAAAACAGATGAACATAAGGGAAGGGAAACAAAAATAATATAAAAATGGGGAGGGGGGACAAAACAGAAGAGACTCATAAGTATGGTGAACAAACTGAGGGTTGCTGGAGGGGTTATGGGAGGGGGGATGGGCTAAATGGGGAAGGGGCATTAAGGAAGACACTTGTTGGGATGAACACTGGGTGTTACAGGGGATGAATCACTGGAATCTACTTCTGAAATCATGGTTGCACTACATGCTAGCTAATTTGGATGTAAATTTTTAAAAATTAAAAATAAAATTAAAAAAATAAATGCTTTTTCCTCCCCGGCAGGGGGGTTGGGGGGGGTAGTATCAGCCCACCTCTTTCTTCCTCAGGAGCCCTCCTCTGAGTGTCCTGAAGCCTAGTTTGGTCCCTTCCCACCACCGACCCCTCTCTGTGGAGGTCTCCGCTGTTGTTGGATGCTGGTTATGTCAGCCCCCCCAGTCCCCTGGCAGCTCTCCATAGGCAGAGAGTGTGTCATTTATCTTCGTGTCTCCTGGACCTAGCACAGTAGGTGTTCAACAAATATATGTTGAATAAAGTAAGAATTTTCCAACATCGGGAGTACAAAGTAATAATTAATGTTCATTAACCTTCCATTCAGCTCAGAGTTTCTCCTTGGTCTTGCTGATGCTCCTGTGCCAAAGGAAGGCAGTAATCCCCCTGGGAAATGTTCCTGCCAGTGAGTGCGTCAGCATGCCATCAACTCCCAGCAGTGACTGGGTGAGGCTGTTAAGACGCTTAACCGTGCTTAATGTTAATAGCTAAGAAGATGGTTCTGCAAACCATAAGTAAATGCAAATCTTTTAAAGAGCTATTATTTTTATCTTGCAGAGTGGCATTTTTTAAATTTGTTTTTGTTTTGGCAGATGCTTGCACAGAAATCTGGCAACATTATCAACATGTCCTCTGTGGCTTCTAGCCTCAAAGGTAAGATCCGTCTTCCTCTGGGAATCACGATGCACATACTCCAAAAACTTTATGACCTATATGGGTTTCCGGAACAAACATAGCAGGGATTATAAAACCCACACGTAATTTCAACACCACTTTTTAAAAAAAATTGTTATTAAGCTCCCTTCTATCAGCCCTTTCTGCCTTAGATGTAAACCAATTGTAACAAATAAGTTTGGTTTCATTTGCCCTTCCTCTAATCCCTTCCAGTGGATATGGAAATGGAAATCAAGTTGGAAGAAGGAAACATTTACCCATTTAATTAACCAAAAAAGATGTATTGAACACTGTGTGTCCCTGCCCAAGAGAATTCACACTGCAAAAGGAAGAGAGGCAGATGTAGGTCTTCTATAGCATGATAATATTACAACACAGGTTTGTGCAAAGTACTGGCACGATATGGGGGAGGGTAACAATTTGGGAAGTGCTTCACAAAGACGGTGGATCTGGGCCCTAAACAAGAGGTCAAGTTGAAGAGCCAGGATCACAGTGCCATTTGGAATAATGTCAAATGTCACAGTCTGGCAGATGGGTTTGTGAGTTTAAAATGAAATCACTACTGCTGAGATAACATTCTTTCTCTTTGCAAGAACACACAGTGAGCCTGCACGAAGAGGGGAAGGTAGAGAAATGCCTCGGCCCCTTGACTTTTTGGTTTGGTTTTTGTTTTGTTGTTCTTTACCCTGATTGTCCTTTGGTGTCTTTTGGAATCTGCCCAAGTGTTCGACCAACTGACGATGAAAACCTAAGACCATTGCCGTTACCTAAATGCAGCATCTCAACACCTAGGTCTCAACTGAGTTGGGCCAGTAATGATCTTATTTTCCCCACACTCAGAAACTAGCCCCAGGAAGGGAGAAAACCTGATACCAAATTTTATTATTTCTTAAGTGTATTTATTTATTTTGAGAGAGAGAGAGAGGGTGAGGGGCAGAGAGAGGGAGAGAAAGAATCCCAAGCAGGCTCTGTGCTGTCAGTGCAGAGCCCAATGCAGGGCTCAAACTCACGAACCTAAATCGAGAGTCAGACACAACCGACTGAGCCAGCCAGGTGCCCCCTGAATCAAACTTTAAAAAGGATGGCATGGGAGGAAGTATGACAGTAGGTACCGAGGACAGTTATTTGTGTTCCCTTTCTAAAGGAGATTTTTTTGTTCCTTCAATGGTTAAACCTTCTTTTCATCCTCAGGAGTTGTGAACAGATGCGTGTACAGTACCACGAAGGCGGCCGTGATTGGCCTCACAAAGTCTGTGGCTGCAGATTTCATCCAGCAGGGCATCAGGTGCAACTGTGTTTGTCCAGGTGAGGTAGGCACAAAAGGGCTGTGCACTTGTCCTTTCTGAACCCTGGTTCGCACTGTGAACATATGCATAGAAGTTTGTTTACCACATGCTATATTGTGTCCTGTCATTAGGAAAAGCTCAAATGAAAAAGGGTCTAGGCTAAGATAACAGTCCAATGGTATGTTGGCAATGAGATTCTCAGTCATTAGGAATGAACCACAGATGCAAAGGGTTTAAATGGTATTCACACGTGTGTGGAACAACTCCAAATCTCGTGGCCAAGATAACTGACCAGAGCTTGGTGTTTTGGAGGTAGACCAGAGATGACCTTGTCAGGCGAAAGATGAAAAGTAGACCGTGTTCACTGGACCGCAGGAAGAAGGTAAGAGGAGCCTCCCAAAACACAGGGAGCTACTGAGGCTTGTAAATCACCTGGGCTGACCCACAACCAAAAAGGAGAGATTAACACCTTCCTTTATGCTATAAAAAGGGGATCAGCAAACTATGACCTGCAGGTGGAATCTGGCCCGTCACCTGTTTAGTAAACACAGTCTTATTGTAACACACCCACACCTAGTTTGCCACATGTATGGCTACAGGCAGAGTTGAGTAGTTGTGCCAGACCAAATGGTTCTCAAAACTAAGAATATTTCCTATCTGGCTTTTTACCAGAATGCATGCTGACCTCTCATATAAAGGAAAGAAGAAAAGAAGAACTTATTATTAGTAGAAAAGACATTCAGTCTGTCCGAACAAAAGCATTCTATAACTTATTTTGTAGGAATAACTTCCCATTTTCTTAATGACTATGGGTATGTCTATTAAACAGATATGCCCTTTCACCTGGTTCCACTGACCCAAAATGAATACAGGTTGCCTAAGAAGAATTATTAACTTCTTCTCTAAAAAGGAATTAAATATCACATATCCAGAATCAAGCTTGCTCTCAGTGGTTCACAACTGGTACTGGGGGGTTGGGGAGAAGCAGCATTTCACAGTTACTTATGGAACTTTTCAAAACCTGAAGTGCATGCCAGAACTTGGGGAAAGAGTTGATGGGGAAAATTGTGTGTAGTTTGGAAAGTTCCACATGAGATTTTTATATAATCCACCATGGTCTCCCCTCAGGTTAAAAAACACTAACTCATTAGTTTAAAAGAGGAATGTGAAATACCTTTCAAGCTACAGAATTTCCATGACAGAGGTATTCTGTTTAAGTTTTCTTGGATTAGAAATGTAAACATAGGTAACACCAAGAAAGAAGAGGATACAGAAGAGACAGTTTCACTGGGTTTTAACATACACGCTGGTGATACTTGACTCTAGCTATTTCTGATGCCATTTACCCAGTGGAAAAAATGGAAAAATGATTTGGAAAATGTGGTTGTTTTAGCAGCTGGACTTTTCAGAAGTTTGGAAAATATATTATCAACCTGTGTGGGACAAGGAACGAGCTGTGACTCATGAGCCAGTCACGGCAGAAAACCTGACAAGGAGTGAGTGTGTCTGGGGTAGTGCTGCTGGTGGTATAGTCACACTCTTCAACACCAGCCTTTGTAGACTATGACATGCTATGTGGTCCGTGCCCTGGACACAGTAGAGTTGGGACAATGGAATTAAGTACAAGGCATAGGCTTGCTCTATAGTTTCATTTAATAACCATTACTACCAGCCATATGAAAGACATGATGCTCCCTCGCCTGAGTGGTAGGAAGCTGTCAAAGTTGTATTTTAAAACTGGATTTTGAGGACATTGTTCAACGAAAGCTTACGACGTCTTGAGCATACTGTTGGTAGGACTGGGGACTGTAAGGAGGCTATGGACGAGGGAAGTGAGGAAAATATTACCAGAAGATGGGTACAAGGGAATCTTTGTTACACGGTTTCAGAAAGTTTATCAACATTATTGCCTGCAGTAATGTGGAAGGTAGAAAATGTTCCTAATGAACCAGGTGACCATTTCTAGTAAAGACAGTTTCTACCCTGAGTGTCAAAAGTGCTGCCCACTTATGATGAAATGTGAGAGGAAACAGGTAAGCTAAAGAAAGGGTGTAAACACAAAGGAGCCAGAACTTTCTGAATTTGAAGATTTCCACCCTCTCCAGAGAAATGACAAATGATGCTAAAATTAAGAAATGGTTGGGGCTCCTGGCTGGCTCAGTCGATAGAGCATGCAACTCTTGGTCTTGAGACTGTGAGTTCAAGCTCCAAGGTAGGTACAGAGATTACTTAAAAAAATAATTTTTTTTAAAAGAAAATAAATGATTTCCTAGTAAACATCATCCCTATGGCACTCTCAGGAGCAGAGGATATGACTTTAAAATCATTTTTTATGACCTTAGAAATACCATGTGGTTGCCCAGAGTACTGTCAGCACCCCCCACCCCCCGCCAAAAGGCCCTCTAAACAGAATTTACAGATTACAAAAATTGACAGAAACTCTGGGAAAGTTGCTCTGTAGGAGCTTGAACCAAGCGGGGTTTTCAAATGTTTAGTGTCATTCTTACTTTAAGTGAGATAATTCAAATTATATTTTTTATGAGAAACATGAAACAGTGGTTAAAAATAGGAATTTGAAACCAATGAAAATAGGCAAGATAATGAAGAAAATGTCGAGCCATCTAATTACTGAGGACCGTGACAGGCATGACCCTGTCTGAGGATCCCCAGAGTGAACCTGACAGCAAAGAATGGTTTGGGGATCATTAAGGGAACCTAGGTTCTTTCACTGATGAAGTATTTATATGGCTGTATTTACAACTCAGGGTTGTTGTGAGGAGTAACTGAGATAATACATGTAAAAGTGCTGAAAATCCATAAAGTGTCATGCAGTGTAATGTGACTAAAATATATCTTGGGGATGCTTGTGTGACTCACCCAGAGTCCTTGCCTAATGTCACAAAGAATTATGGTCTCTGTGTGTGTGTTTTTAATGTTTATTCATTTATTTTGAGAGACGGAGGGAGGGAGGGAGGGGCAGAGAGAGAGAGGAGAGAGAATCCCAAGCAAGCTCAGTGTTACCAGCACAGAGCCCCATGCAGGCCTCGATCTCACAACCATGAGATCATGACCTAAGCTGAAATCAAAAGCCAGATGCTTAACCGACTGAGCCACCCAAGCACCCCTATGGTCTGTGTTTTTAGAAATCCTAAACACGGAGGTGAAATTATCATTGTAAGTCATGGGGAAGGATTTCATTGATGTATCATGTGGAAAGGAAGTTTAAAGTTTGTCAACTTCTTTTTCAATTTGAGTAATTAACCAAGCTGAATGTCCCCCTTTGATTTAGGAACAGTTGATACCCCATCTCTACAAGAAAGAATACAAGCCAGACCAAATCCTGAAGAGGTATATCTACTATTTTAAATGCGATTAAATCTTCTGGTTGAAAAATGTCCTCTTCCTTACCTAGAGTAGACAAATTCAGAGACAGACAGAAGGGTGGCTGCCAAGAGCTGGGGGAGGAGAGAACAGGGAGCTATTGGTTAATGGGTACAGAGTTTCAGTTTTGCAAGACAAAGAGAGTTCTAGAGATTTGTTGCACAATAACGTAAATGTACTTAACACTACTGAACTATACACTTAAAAATGGTTAAGATGGTAAATAACGTGTATTTTACAATTTCAAAAAAAATTTTTTTAAAGCTCTCCTCTTTAATATGTATTTTGATCTGACACAGTATCTACAGGTTTTATTATAGTCACAGTGTCTATAGGTTTCACTAGTTTGAGTAGCTTGGAAGTCATTCTAGTCCTCCCTGGTCCACAATTAATGATATTCTCATGTATCATGTATCATACATGATTAATCAAGGCAGCAAGCCAATGGTAACTCTATAGATTCCTCTTGCCTTGGACTTCCTGAAGGAGTTGCAGGTGAATTCAGACTTCACCTCCTATCACTGATATCTGGTATGGTTTCTGATCTCAGGCACTGAGCTCTTTCCTGAAAAGACAGAAGACTGGAAGATTTGCAACCGCAGAAGAAGTAGCCCTCCTCTGTGTGTATTTGGCTTCTGATGAAGTAAGCACTGTTCTTCCCAGGGAGTTCATTATTCCTCATTTGGCCACGATTTGCTTATCAAAATAATGTCATTTTAGAGAGTTGCAACATATATAAGAGGTTGCATTTACAAGATAGGGATCAATTCTAATTTAATTTGCTCAAAGAAAGGCCACTTTGATCTGAGCCACCAACTCTTCCTTATTCAACTCTATGTGTCACTAAATCTTGTAGCAAATGACATAGAAGATTGAAAAAATAAATTGCTCAATTTTATGAGAGACAGTTGCTTTGAAAAATTATAATTGGGGAAAGTTGAATTAAATGTAAGTCAAGCAAATGAACCTCCAAAATTATGAGAGCTTCAGGTGAAAGGGGGAGAGAGTTAACCAGATTTAGTTGTGTCTAGAGTACACAGAATTGGCATTTGGTGTTTTTAGTTTTACTGGTGACTTAATTAGGACAATCCCACTGGCTGGTTTTTTCCTGTGAATTCTTGTTTATCATATATGGAAATCCCAATTCTATCTCATTCTGTTTTGCACCTATTTAGTAATCAATTTCTTCCTTAATGGCTATTGCATATTCTTAAATGGCATACAACTAGGAAAGCAGAAACTATAAGGTAAAGAGTACAAAAACACCCCCCTCTGTTGGATGTATTTGAATATTACATGAAGAGGGAACTGCAGCATTTGAGATGAGAGGAAAACCAGGAGTAGGCAGGAGTGAGGAGGTGTGTTACTGATCTGTTAGCTCTTCTTTACAGTAACTTGCACACCAGCTAGTTGGTGAATGTAACAAATAGTGGTTGAAATGTTAGTGACCGAAGTTACCACTTCTCAGGACTGTTAACAGCAGTTTTTAGTAGCTGGGAAATTGCTAAACAAATTACTAATGGAACAAGTTCATTGGCTTTTGTTGTTTCTCTGAATCTGTATCTGCAGAAGAGTTCATTTGAATTGGGGGGTACTGCTGATAAGCTAAATTGTCCTTGTTTAGCCAGAGCTGAAGTTTACCAAATATTTGGAAATGTTCTGGCTTGAAATGTGCAATAAAAAGAACTTTGGACTTTTAGAGGAGCCCCAAGGCGTCCATATGTATAACAAAGTTTGCTTTTTAAAAAACCTTTGGGGAGTTGATGATAGTTTACCTACAGTATGTGATTAGTTTTCATAGATTGAACTTTAAAAATGTCTGTACTCATACTGTGATGTCTTTCCTTCCTGCCTCTTCCATTGTGTCAGGCCTCAGATAAATTTAAAAATAAGAACACGAATTTAACATCTATGTTTAAGTTAAAAGATTTTTAAACCTCTACCACAAGGCTTACTTCAGATTTATTTCTTTGGAAAGTGCAAAATTCTGTGAAAAAAAAAATAGTAATTTTTTTTAATTCCCTTAGTTTGGTACAGATTTGGATATCTGAAACTAGTATAGAATATTTTTTCATAGTTTAATAGATACAATTATTATTCATATAAATTTTTTAAACACATTTACTGTGCCTCAGCTTCTGACAACACCTATGTATTTTTGTCAACTAAAAATACAAAATCTTCTACAAAAAATTCTGTTTGGTAATTAACACAACCACTTTATGACTAACACACTTGACGACATTCAAAAGTTTATTAATGTCATAAAACTCAGCTGCTTTAGAATAGTTCTGAATTTCAAAATGAAAATGTACTGTTTTAGCCTATACTTTATCCTAATTTAGGGAATGGCTGCATATCACTGAGCTTAATTTTCTGATTCTGAGACCGAACATCTGCTTAGAATGTGACATGTGCTAAAACACTAGCCAGAGGCCAGGTAACTCTAAATCACAAGAACATGCAGCAGTTTCAGATCATCCAAAATTTAATTCAGATTTTTCCTAAAATCTATTTGTTACGTGAGATTTCCTGTTACCCCGAGAGTACATTGTTTAGGTTTCTGAGTCATGGAAAAATTGAAGAAACACAACCTGTGTTAAACCTGGTTAATTGTTCTGTCTCCTTGTGTTTGTCATTGCAGTCTGCCTACGTAACAGGTAATCCTGTCATCATTGATGGAGGCTGGAGCTTGTGATTTTAAAATCTCCTTGCTGGGAAGGCAGGCTCTTCCTGTCCACAGTGAACCTGGTTACAAAGAAAACTCACCCATCATGTCTCTCCTATTAACAGCCTATTAATGAAAACAAGCCCTTTTTATGATGTCTTTGCTCACAAGAGTCAGATTCTTTAAATATATTAATCTCTTTCTAACCTCTTCTGAAATCATTATAGGTAGACGACATAAAAGATAATGAACTCACTGCAAATGAAGAGGTTTAACATCAACCACAATTTGTAAACATATAAAATTAAAATGTGAATATGAAAAATGGAAGGTTTTTAAGAAAAAAGTATTTGTATTTTACTTCTATTTCCCAATATTCAAATATTTCATATAATTCTGCTTGGTCTGTACATGGACTCTAATTTTAAAATTTTACACCATCATAAATGAACACAAGATAGGAAAGAATTTAGCTTCAGTGACTTACATTAAAAAAGAGTTTAGATTCAGAACTATATTGTTAATCTGTTATATAAAAGAAAAATAATCATCAAGTATTTATATTTAACAGATGTTACCACTCATAATTGAGTACTATTTTCTTAGTGTAACTAAAAAATCTTTATTAAAATAAATAATGACATTGGCATGGGCCTAAGAAACTTACAGTGAACCAGCAGTATTTTCAGTTTGAATATAGATTAAGTGTAGATTTTTTTCACCAAATGCCAGGTTGACAGTAAGAGGACATGAAATTTAGAAACAGTCTCTGGATACATAAATATAAATGAATCATATAACAGGAAACTAAATTAAAGAAAATAATTTTCAAGGGATGGGTGAAATAGAGAATTAGGAAACACAAACTTCCAGTTATAAGTAAGTCACAGAGATGAAAAGTACAGCATAGGGAATACAGTCATTAATATTATAATAATGTTGTATAGGGACTATACTTAATCATGATGGGCACTGAATAATGTATAGAATTATTGACCTAATTATGTTTTACACCTGGAGTTAATACAACATTGTATGTTAATCATAATTCAATAAGAAATGGTTAAAAAAATTTTTTTCAAGAAAAAGTTTAAGCAAATTCATGGATGATAATTGTATAAGAGGTTATTAGGAAGTTTTTTCTTTTTATTTTAGTTTTAGGGTTTTATGTTTGTTTTTTACTTGTTGCTACTTCAAAAGACCAAATGGTATGATGCAAATATAGATAATAAAGGAGCAGTTATTCTTAGTCTTTCCTCTTAGAAACTTAATTAACAACTAATATTAACAAGGAAAATTTTGAAATGGACATTGAGAGGATAACATTTTATGTGTGAGGAAGAGTATTATGTGATTGATGAAAAAAAGTTAAAATTGACCAGCATTCCCAAAGAGTCCATTGATACAGGATTTGTTTTGGGGTTCTGGACCAGGTTTCCACAACTGCATCACAGAACACTTGGTTTGTGACTAGACCAAGTCACCGGATATATGTTAGATTTTAGTATTCTGGTTTGTGAAATAAGGGAGCTGGGCCAAATGACTTGGGTTTTTGTTTTGTGTTTTGTTTTTGGTGTATCATATTCAAAATGCTGTAACTTCTTATCAAGTGGAGTAGTGGAACAACGAAACTTACAAGTATGTTATGAAGTACTTCATGCTGTGAGCAAGTATACGGGTGTGTGTATAACTATGACAGATGAATTCTAAATAAATGATAAATTCTTGAAAATGAATTCTAATTAACAAATGCTTCTTGAGACTGCATGCTCTCATCTAACTATAAACTATAAAACATTATAAACAATAAAAGTGCAGGTAAAACCTAACTAAAAAGTTCAGTGTTCCTCTCCAAAGTCGTGTTATTCAAATCGGGTGATGTGTCGATGAAGACCATATGACTGAAACAAAAGGAAAACTGTATTTCATTCCTGTGGTAAGAGGAAGCTGGATACCACTAGAAACTTCCCCAGTCCTTAGGAGAGGAAGAATTCGACTTAGGAAAATACAGTAATAATCACTTTAGATGCCCTGAAGTTTACTGTACAGAACGTAGGTTCATCCGTCCTGCCCACAAAGGAGGCTGAGAGACAAGAATGAGTGGTTTTTATTTGGTGGAGATATTAACTTGACATTGTCCCCCTTGCTTGAAAAGCGGTGATTAAAATTGAGCCAAGAAGTGAAAATTAGGTAAGACCATTTTTATTTCTGAAGGAAATGAAAATTACCCCGAACGGGGCGCGCGCATATATACACACACTTACCTGGAGCCGGGAAACATACAGAAAAGGAAGACACAGAAATGGAAGGGAGTTTTAATGGAAAAAGAAACTGCTGATGGGAAGGTTCAAATCTACAACAACGCGGTAAGAAGGGCTCCTGTTAAAGACGCGATACAAGGGGGAAGGACAAGTCTTTAATCCCGCCTAACTGGCCGCCCAAACGGAGAATGCTATCTTCCCACCGCATCGGAGAAGACACTTCGAAAAGCACGGCTGAAAGGTGGAGTTAAAACCCGAAGTGTATTAGTGGGTTTAGGGAACATTAAACCTCGTAATTGGCTGTCGGGGCTGCACTCCCGACTCCAGAAAAGCCAGCGCTGCGCGTCCTCTCCAGAGTTCTAGTCACCGCCGGGGTCCGCGCTCGCTGGGCGGCCTTTCCTGCGAGTTTCCCGGGGGAGACGCGCTCGTCCCGGCACCGGGAGCCGGCCGCCCAGCCAGAACGCACGACTGAAACACGACGGTGAGGCACGACATCTCGGCAAGCGGGCGGCTGGCCCGCCGGGCACCACAGCCCGGGAAGGCCGCGCGCCGCCAGACCCCGACCCGGCGGAGGGCACGTGGGGCGGCCGCCTGGGGCCGGGCCCCTCCCGGGCTCGCTCACGGTGTTACTCAGGCGCCGCCGGACCAGACGGCCCTCCCTCCACAGGGCCGCCCCGCGCGCGCAGAGAAGGCGGAGCCTCGGAAATCCGCGGCGCGCCCAGGGCCCAGATATAAGCGTATTTCACAGCCTCCGGCTCCGCCTGGGGCGATGCGCGCGCGTGGCTGGACCAGGCTCCCCCGGAAGATATTTTAGCCCGTCTCCCACTCTTCCTGCGCTGGAGACCGCCAGGTGAGTAGCCCTCAGAGGACACTGAGTGTCCAGAGCGTGTTTTTCTTGTTTGTGTTTTAGTTCTCGAACACCAGAGGCTGTGGCTACTGTGGGCTACGTTAGCACCGCCAAGATGCTGAGAACCATCAGATCCCACTGGCTGGAGAACAACCACATGCTGAAAGTGCACACTGCCTGTGGCTTTTTTTACTTACCAGGCAGCAGCTTGTTATCTCATCCTTGTTGTTGCATCCTTGGTATCTCACCGAAGACTTTGGTGATTTGTTGCCCTAAAAAATTGATATCAGAAAGCCACCATTGACTTTAGCCTCCCTTCAAGAAATGGACAACACCAGTGGACAGAGAAGGCGGGTACCTTCCTTAGCCACATTAACCTCTGTTTTCACTGAAAGACAGAAACCCTATTCCCCTACTCTGTAATGGGGCCTCCACCTGACATTGTTGCTGCTACAAACTGCTGTCATGAAATTCTGGCTTACTGTTTCTAAGTTCAGAATGAAACATTTAACTTTAGCAAATATCTGTTTGTCTTCTCTGGGCCAAGCAGGCATGGGGACAGGAAATACAAATATGAACTAACTACAGTTTCTGCCATTCAATACCTCAAAATCCAATGGATCAGAATATACTTAACAAGTTACTAGGTAGAGTGATTCATGCTGTACTAATGACGTGAGCAAAGTGACTGATTCACAAATTTATATTTACTAGAATATTAAGATCTTTAGAATTCTAACCCTATTGAGTAGATGTTTGCTTTTTTTAAATTTTAATGTTTATTCTTTTTTAATTTTTTTAAATGTTTTTATTTATTTTTGAGACAAAGAGAGACAGAGCATGAGCAGGGCAGGGACAGAGAGAGACACACACAGAATCTGAAGCAGGATCCACCCAAGCTCTGAGCTGTCAGCACAGAGCCCGACGCGGGGCTCGAACTCATGGAGTGTGAGATCATGACCTGAGCGGAAGTCGGATGCTCAACCAACTGAGCCACCCAGACGCCCCATAATGTTTGTTTATCTTGAGAGAGAGAGACAGAGTGTGAGGAGGGGAGGGGCAGAAAGAGAGGGAGACATAGAAGCTGAAGCAGGCTCCAAGCTCTGAGCTGTCAGCACAGAGCCCGACGCGGGGCTCGAACTCATGTACCATGAGATCATGACCTGAACCGAAGTCAGATGCTTAACCTGACTGAGCCACCCAGATGCCCCTTGCCCTTTTTTTTAAAGGATTTCTGAAAAAATGGGAAGAACTCAGTGATACAGGTCTGTCTTGGAGTCTACTCCAAAAGTTGCTGTGCTGGATATAGAAGGTTGGCACTCATATCGATCCCTACCTGCTTCCAGCATGCCTTATTTTATAGGAGACACTGGAGAGCTAAAAACACTTCCTTAGACTCCAATCCAGCCAAAGTTCTAGATGTAACATTAGTGTCTGGCAAGTAGATGAACTTGTCTGAGCTTTTGAAGGCAGAGGTGAGACAGAGGCCATCTCCTTGCTACTTTTTGCTGTTTTCTCTTGGCAAGGAAGGTCCAGGATTTGCCAGTCCTAGTCTCCACAACTGTGGGTGTGGGGAGGGACTTACAACAGTGGTGACAGCCAGACTCAGCATCATCATATTGAATCACTAGCTCTGTGGCCATCAAGAAGCAACTGAGGGAAGTGGTGAACATAGTCTGTGTTCCCTGCCCAGGCAGCTTCCAGATCCCAGCTTCTCGGACTCATAGCTACAATGGTGTCCTTGAACTCTGTAGTCCTTGTGGGGCCTTCTGATTGTAGCAAAAATAGTACATTCCTCAACAGTTCATTTACTACTGTTCTAGAAGTCATTCCCGGAGGCCCAATCTAGAACCTACTCTTCTAACCCTTTCAACAGTCTCTAGCCTTTAAACAATTCACTTAATTCCCTGTGTAAAACCTCT